CAGCTCCTAATCATCACTCATCTCATCCACCTGCTGGTTGCCCTTATATTGGGCTCAGTTAAAGCTGTCATGGCCAGATCATCAGTTTTTTTTAGTTTTAGGTTTATTTCAAAGGTTCATGTTCATATCACCAAGCTCTAGGTGGTAATTATTAATGCATCCAGAGACTCCCATGCCCTACCCTTTCCCTTCCCCAAACTATCAGACCACTGACAGTGGTGCAAACTTTCAGGAGCTTCGGATATATCTGTGACCTGCAGGTATTTGTCTGCAAAGAAAAGAGGCCCAATGGGTCTTGTGTAAAAGAAGTATAAATAAATGGTCCGATCAATTTAATTCTACTGTTTAAGAAATTGAAAGTGTCTCACTATTTGATAGTACAATTTTTAATACGTGTATTTGCTCACCCTATAAAGATGTCACTGTATAAAGACAGAGTTAGTTGCTTTTTATCCTGACAATAAAGGCTGTTTTTTTTTCAATAACTTCGGATTAGTCTGCCTTCTTGACTTGAGCCTTAACGCTGTTTATATCGTCAATTTGTGCCCTTACAAATAAAAAACATGGGCACCTCAGGAAAAAAGATTTATATTTAGTAGATCCTCCTTTGGCAAAAACAACAGCCTCTAGTCGCCACCTGTTGTTTTTAATGAGTTCCTGGATCCGGGACGAAGGGATTTTTGACCATTCTTCTTTGCCAAACAATTCCAGTTCAGTTAAGTTTGGTGGTCGCCGAGCATGAACAGCCTGCTTCAAATCATCCCACAGATGTTCAATGATGTTCAGGTCTGGAGATTGGGAAGACCTTTCCAGCACATTGTAATTGTTCCGCTGCATAAGTGCCTGAGTAGATTTGGAGCGGTGTTTTGGATCATTGTCTTGCTGAAATATCCATCTCCGGTGTAACTTGTACTTCGTAACTCATTTTGAACATTATTTTCAAGAATCTGCTGATATTGAGTGGAATCCATGTGACCCTCAACTTTAACAAGATTCCCAGTGCCAGCATTGGCAATGCAGCCCCAAAGCATGATGGAACTTTTACCAAATGTTACAGTGGGTAGCAAGTGTTTTTCTTGGAAAGCTGTGTTTTTTTGCCGCCATGCATAACGCATTTTTTTAATGACCAATCTCTGTTTTGTCAGTCCACAGGACCTTATTCCAAAATTAATCTGGCTTGTCCAAATGTGCTTTTGCATACCTCAATCAATTCTGTTTGTGACGTATTTGCAGAAAAGGCTTCTGTCGCATCACTCTCCAATACAGCTTCTCCTGGTGTAAAGTTCACTGAATTGTTGAACAATGCACAGTGACACTATCTGCAGCAAGATAATGCTGCAGGTCTTTGGAGGAGGTCTGTGGCTTGTCCTTGAACATTCTCACCATTCTTCTTCTCTGCCTCTCTGATATTTTTTTTGGCCTGCCACTTCTGGGCTTAACAAGAACTGTTCTTGTGGTCTTCCATTTCGTTGCTATGTTCCTCACATTGGAAACTGACAGTTTAAATCTCTGAGACAACTTTTTGTAACCTTCCCTTGAACGACTATTTTGGACAAACTTTGTTTTCAGATCATTTGTGAGTTGTTTTAAGGGTGTCCATGATGAATCTTCAGAGGAGATTCAAACAGAAGAACAACTTGCAACTGGTCACCTTAAATACATTTTCTCATGAATGGATACACCTGGCTATGAAGTTACTAAACCAATTTTGTGTTTCAGTAAGTCAGTGAAAAGTAGTTAAGGGTATTTAAATAAATAAAATGATTAGGGTACCCACATTTTTGCACATGTCAAGTTTTGTTTTAATGCATATTGCACATTTTCTGTTAGTCCAATAAACCTAAATTCAATACTAAAAATATTACTGTGCCATCAGTTATTAGATATATCAAACTGAAATAGCTGTTGCAAACACCCAAATATTTAGAAATAAGAATAATTAAGATTAATAGGGTTTCCCAAACTTCTTCATATGACTGTATCTGTACAGCATCAGACGGTTACTACTGAAACATGGCAGATAATGATATCATAAACAAATTCATTAGTATTTAAAGTAAATTTAATTAAGCCAAAACATATTTAATGCTGTAAAATGAATGTTTTTTAGTTGTATGTTTAAGAAGATTATCCTATGTGCTTTACTTTGGATATTAAACTTTAGATACAGTTATGGAAACTATTTGCATACATAAACTTTATTCACGTTGATTAAAAAAAGGGGGATTTTTTTTGCATAGCCTTTGCATAATTCTTTCTCTCTGTCTTCCAGGAGGGGAGGAGAAACTGTCAGTGTCACTGAAAACCACTGGATTGGATTTAGTGTGGGATTTATTAAATTTTTTTTCAAAGCTTGATAACTTTATGTATTTATCCACTGTGGTCATTTAGAAAATATAACTGGATTAGATAACTTTTTTGATTATAAAAAAGGTAAGACAGCTTGATTTATTATCTGTTTTGCTGTTCTTGAATACTGAGCATTGATGCAATACTGCTTCATTAAGCTGCAACAGTTTTTTTTTAAATCCTTTTTCAATGGTATGGCAAATCTGTCCATACCAACTTCAATGGACTTCTAGAGGATATAAAATGAATCAGTATAGATCTAACTTGTGTGCTTCTGAATTATCTCTGTAACTTATTATTACTCAACAACATTGGGACCGAAAGCATTTAAATCATACTTGATATTGTCTGGGTTTGGTTGTGGTTTTTGAAGACCCACATGCAGAGGTGAGGAGGCAGAGGTGAGTTATTGTAGCTTTAATTGAGTTCTTACGGGCAAGAGAAGCACTAATCTAAAAATCCAACATAAAAATGTAAAACAAACCAGAACCATGGAGACATCAGGGAAAACATGCATGAGGAGGCGAGGGAAGACGAGGAACCAGCACTGAGGAACTGCACAGGGAGAGTATTTATGGCTGAAGGCAGGACTAACGAGCTGATAGGGAGCAGGTGTGAACAGAGGCTTCTAGAAAGGAGCTAGGGAAAGGAGACCAAGACAAGAGGAAAACAAAGGGCAACAAAGAAAAACCCAAGGACTCAAATATATCCAGAAAACACAACAAAATAGGAATTAAACCAATAAAACTAGAAAACATGGACCAAAGTAAAACTGAATACTCAAAAGAAAACTTGACAGAACCAAGACCGTGACAGATATATTTTCAGCCTTTTAATTTGGAAGTAATAATTATCATTACTATAAATTAGAATTGTTAATTGAAATATTTTTCTGTTTTTAAACAAAATGTAGTGAAATATTTCCTTGTGTGGCTTAGGATACAGAAAACTTGTGTTCGGAGCAAGTTTGCATGAATCTTCCCATTAAAAACTAATGCTTGTTCAATACTATTTTTAATATCTTAGAGGTTCTTATGTTATTTTGTTTAGTTCCCCTGTTTGTATCCTTTAATTTTTTTAGAGCTTCAGATCCTTTTTTTTTTCTCTCTTGACTGACACAAGCAATCCTCTTGTGTCAGTCAAATTTAGGAAGTATACCTTTATAGTGTTTAACCATGAGTCATCAGTGTGGCACACCCTTGCTAATTAAAGTGATGTTTTGATTTGCCTATTGTTTTTCTGACAAAAAGCAGCTTAGAGAAATGTTATTTAACTTTCAGATGGGTATTCTTTCTAACAGTGTATGTGTTTCTGCATCATATTTATAACCTACATAAAGGCAGGTTTGTAGTTCAGAGCCAAGTTAGATTTGGAATAAATTGGAATATGTATTACTATAGGCATAAACAGAGGAAAGTTATTGTCATTAATCTAATATCTTAAAGATATCTATATAAAACTTACTATAGAAGTTGTGAAAAATTACATAACATATTGATAGTTTGCTGAAACTAAGCAATGTAAACATTTAAAGAGGTACGTCTTTGAGGTGGTGGGTATTTTCCACAGTGAGCATTCCACCAAGCATAATTCTTCCAGGGAAAAAATTGTCACATTTTCGACTCATATTGGGTTTAGAGCTTCCCATATTGATATTACATTCAGTCAGTCATTAGCTTTATGTGATGGTTACACACATGGATGATGTTTGTCAGATCGGGACTAAAAGCCTCCTGAGAAATTACTACAAAAAACGCACATTTAACAAAATCTAAGCTAAAGCTCTCCATATTAAAACCCAAACCTTATAAAGGTGTGCACATATGGATGTGTCAGAGTAAATGTAAAGAATTAATGAATTTTTTTTCAATTCAGTGAGGTGGGCTGTGTCTATATATATGTGTAACGATTGGGAATCCTTATACCTCCTAAGCACCTAATAGGAACATTGGGAGGTCCCTATTCTAAATGAACTATTAATAGGAAGCATCCAGATTTATTTTCTTACCTCTCTCTCTTTACTGTCAGCATTATTCAGACACACACTTATTATGGTGACCTTACTTATTTGCTGTATTTGTATTGAGTCCATCTATTTACAGTTAAATGCTGCCATCTACTGGTGAGATGGGATTACAGATAAAACCATTGGTGGTAGAGATACCTAATATGTAAAGACATTGACAATGACAAGGAAATGCATTGTATAGAAGGACACAAAATATTATTCAGAAACCTACATATATAATATTATATTATTTAGGTTTGTTTTTAAAAGGAATGTTAAGGGCTATTAAGCTACATCTTAGTATAAAATATCTTCAGAGGGCCAAAATTGTTTTGACCCTCCAAAGATGAAAACCAAAAACAATATTATAAAATTTGAGCAGGACTATTAAACTAATTTAAATGAATTATTTTCTTTTTTGAATAAAAGATATGTCAAGAATGAAAGAAGCACATTAACAGTATCTGAAAACAGGACATAGGCTAAGAAATCTTAAAAGCCACATTTTGCTGTTGAGTTTACCCAGAAATATTCGAATAAAACAAATTAGCATTTAAAAGAAGGGGAACCCTTCTTCAAAATCACATTTAAATCATTGAATTTAAATGAAACAAAACAGAAGTGGACAAAAATCTGTGGGGTAAAGTTGCTTTTGGCAGTAATGTATTTATTTACTAAAATAGCAAAACCAATACTTTTAGGACATTTAGAATATATGAAAATGCATTTTTTCTTTTATACTCAAAGTTTAAAGGCATGACAGTTGTGACAATAAAAAAACACAATTTACTGTAGAAGTTTGTGCAACTCAGCTGTGAACTGACATTTGCATAGTTCTGTAGCATGATATATGCTGTCTGCAAACGTTCACATGTAGTTTTGCCCTGTGTCACCTGCACAAGTTAAAAACAAGGTAAAGAGCAAAGGCAATTACAAGAACAGAGGTTTTATGTTGTTTATGATCTACAGCAAGAATGTAAACACAAAAAGGCAGCATTGGTGTTCCTATAAGCCGCTGCATTTCCACCCTTGTAGGAAAGCAGCTTTTTAAAGATGAAAGGTGCAAGAAGGAAATATGTTGTTTTTTTTAACCATACAGAAGAAAGAGATCATCTGATCAAGCCCAAACAAAAATACGTATGATACAAATAATGACCAAAATGATGTAAACTTTATTTTAAAAGGGTTTTCATTTCTGACTGACCCAATAAAAAGGTACAGATTTGACTAAAACGTAACAGTGTTTGCTAGTCTTTCTTTTTTTTGTCTTTTTAGTTATATAAAGAGAACTTTATGGGCCACTATGGAACTGTGCTTTAAAAATATATATAGGAATTACAGTCTCATCCAAACTTTTCCTTTAGAGGGGCATGTTTTATATAAAAAAATATTACTAATGTGGAGCTAATCTTTTCCTATGGAGATAAATTTTAGTGTTTCACTTCAAGTTACTCCTTTTTTTCTGGCTGCTCAATGAGTTTCCCTTTGTGGTACTTCTGTCCTATTCCATAAGGGACATGTGCAGATATGGTTCCTAGTTCCTTGGCCCCCTCAATATGGTGCATCTGGTCATCAAAGAAGATATGAGGTCTGATCTTCTGCAGCAGGGGCCCCTTTGGAGCCCCAGCAAGGAAGAGGGCCTCATCAATTTCCAGGCCCCAGGTTCGGAGGGTCTTCAGGACACGAGCACCAGAGCTCGCTGCGCTGCGAGCGGTGACCAGGAAGGTTCGGATCGGGCAATTCATGCGTTCGTTCTTCTCATAAAACTTTCTCTGGAGCTTTCCAAGGGCCTCCAGAAAACACTTTAATGGACCCTGTAGGAAGAACAGAATACTTTTAATGTTGGTTAAAATATTTTCAACTTGAGGTTTTCTATATCTTTAAGATATGACCACAAAACTTCCGTGTATTTGTGATTCATCAAACATTAAGAGTGGAATAATTGTAAAGTTGCTGGAAAAAGATGTTGTATGTAATTTTATTTGTCTTCCTGAATCAATATAACAGATGTGAATCCTATGGGATATGTCAATACAGGCTTTCCATGACTAGATTTATTTCTTTGCTGCAAATCATGTAAAGCTCTTGGGTGGAGAGCATTTATCAGCATCAGTTTACAAACATTGTGAAACATTTCATTGTTATTAAGTCTCTATGTTGACTTGGCTACTCAAAGAAAAGACATCAGACTAAACCAGGGATTTCAAAGTAAAATACACTGCGGGCCAAAAAAAACTAATTTTCTACAAGCCGAGGGCTGGACTGGTTAAATATTTATTAAAACATATTGAAATGAACATAGCCTATTGAACCAAGACCGAACACATTGTGTTTTTTTTTTAAACAAAATATCAATAAATAATAATAAAATAGTAATAAACTTTTATTATATTGAGAAACTTATTAAGATAAATACATAAATTAAAGTGCATGCATTATTAATTATGTTTGGATTGTTTTGGTTTTTGATTTCCCCCTTTAACAATTCAAGCACACTGGGCTGAAGTCGGTGGTCTACAGAGGTGGAGCGCACTAACTGCTCTCCGCAAATGAAGCGCGCAGGTGTCAGCAGAGGCTGATTGAAGCAAAAATAAAAGGAGGTTGGATGGAAGCTGATCCTGCAGGTGATAGAGATGAACACGCTGCTGAGTGAGGGGCAAGTGGGATCAACAAGCCAGGCACAGAATACCGGGTGGTGAACAGACGGCACAGACAGAGCAGAGGACCGCGCCTGTAAGTAGCGCTCCATCTCGATCAGAGAATCATGCAGATCCCACCTGCCTCTCGCTCAGCAGCCCGTCTCCATCACCTGCAGTGGTGGTTGCTCACGGAGCCAGAGTGGCAGTCTGGGGGAGTGGGGATTGAACTCAGAAACTCTGGAACCCAAGCACAATTACTTAAACCACTAGGCCGCCACTCCATCCAGCTAGACTAGTTCATAACTGCTCAAGGAGTTAGAGTCTAGCAAGCCTGTATCAGAACATTCAGTTTGTTATGACAGCAGGAATATAAATCCACAAGCACATTCTGGTATTAAGGATAGAGAATATGATTCGCTGACTTTAGCCAATGCTTGAGAGAAGGAAGAAACTTTGAAAGCTGAAGCTGCAATATAGTTTTTAATTGTATCCCTAAAAAACGTAAACATAAGGCTGATTTTTTTCCTTCAAACTCCTGCAAAGAGTTTTTTTAAGAAGACATGTAATCTCCTGTTTGTCAGGTATCATAAATAATACATGTAGATGTTTTTTTTTGTTTTTTTTTTTACCTGAGCCAAGGGTTTGTTCTCATTCATTTTCTCATGCTCAAAAAAAGAGTCCAGGCCGTGTTGCTTCACAATAATTTCTGACTCGTCTGAGAAAAGGACGGCATCACCATCAAACGCCACTCTTAGCTGAGTGTCGCTCAGATTGCTCTCCTTTTCTGACATAAACATGGTAGCTGCTGCAATTCCTATATGGGGGAAAGGAAATATTTTTAAAAGAAGCACTTTCATCGGAACATTCTGTTCTTGAAATTCTGCTGCAGGCAATTGTCAACCCCAGACGTTGAACTTAAGGTTTAAAGAACCTGTTAAGCTGATTTAACCAGCAAATACAGAGACTTACAAAAGCATTCCTACACCAAGAATATTTCCCAATTTTGGGAGGTTTTATATTATATATATATATATATATATATATATATATATATATATATATATATATGCACACACATTATGAACACATTATACACACGTAATGTGTGTGTATCTATATACACACACATTATGGGAAGCAATTTTTAGTTCTTCGGTTGTAATATAAAGAAAACAGCTTCTCTTACCTTCTTCTATAGCATCTATGACCTTCTTTGAATCCTTAGAAAGGTAAAGGTTTGTCATGTAGGCCTTCAGGTAACCTATAGGACTTTCCCCTCCAGTCATACAGAATCTCTCTATAGTCAAACCTGGGATAGAATAAAAAAACAGATATGCATGAAAAATAAAGGCCTAGTTATTTTGATTTTTCTCCTTACTCTGTTTGCTGATGTAGTGAGGAGGTGAGACGTTGCTGAGCTGAACAATTAACAATGTTTGGTTAAGGAACGCAGCGTACCGTAGTGATTAATGCTGTTAATGAGGCGCACGCCGACTTCAGCGTGGTTGTTAGTCATCAATACGATGTCAAATAGCTCCTCACTGTCAGGGTAAAGCTCCCTCAGTCGACTGTTGACATTCATGAGAGCCTGTAACACAGATCACACTGTTTGTACTCAATGATATTGAGACATTGTGTTCAACATGAGGGTAAAGCAGTTATTACAAAAGGGTTCCTTTACTTCCCTCTTATTTTAAATTGCACAATATATAAAACAACAACATTTTTGTGAATTTGGAATCCCATATTTCCAGTGCTGGGCAATTGTAATTACAAGGAAGGTATTTTATATTAAACAAATAGACTACGGCTATAACAATTAATCAGATTAATTGTGATTATTTGATTATCGCAAATATTAATTGTCAAATAATTTTGCTATTTAATCTAAATGTTATGTAGAGTAATGGTACAAAGAAATAAAAAATTCCAATTTGCTACAAAAAAATAGCTTACTAACAGCGGTTATTAAACATCTATAAACACATATACACATTTTCAATAATAATATTGACCAGCTTCTTTTTTTAAATATATAAAATTACATAGATGTGCATAAATATTGTATATTTCCTACATGTTTTGCCATTAACAATTCTTTTAAAATGAGCAATATATATTGATTAAAGAAGCATGGATGGATGGATGGATGGATGGATGGATGGATGGATGGATGGATGGATGGA